AATGTGGTTTTCTGGATTTTTATTTCTCATTTTGTCTGTCATAGTTGACGTGTACCTATGATGAAAATGACAGGCCTCTCATCTTTTTAAGTGGGAGAACTTGCACAATTGGTGGCTGACTAAATAATGTTTTTCCCCACTGTGTGTGTGTGTATGTACACAGTACCGTTCAAAAGTTTGGGGTCACTTAGAAATGTCCCCGTTTTCAAAAGAAAAGCAATTATTTTGTCCATATAAAATAACATCAAATTGATCAGAAATACAGTGAGGGAAAAAAGTATTTGATCCCCTGCTGATTTTGTACGTTTGCCCACTGACAAAGAAATGATCAGTCTATAATTTTAATGGTAGGTTTATTTGAACAGTGAGAGACAAATAACAACAAAAAAATCAAGAAAAACGCATGTCAAAAATGTTATAAATTGATTTGCATTTAATAAGTATTTGACCCCCTCTCAATCAGAAAGATTTCTGGCTCCCAGGTGTCTTTTATACAGGTAACGAGCTGAGATAATGAGCACACTCTTAAAGGGAGTGCTCCTAATCTCAGTTTGTTACCTGTATAAAAGACACCTGTCCACAGAAGCAATCAATCAGATTCCAAACTCTCCACCATGGCCAAGACCTAAGAGCTCTCCAAGGATGTCAGGGTCAAGATTGTAGACCTACACAAGGCTGGAATGGGCTTGCAAGATCTCACCTCGTGGAGTTGAAATGATCATGAGAACGGTGAGGAATCAGCCCAGAACTACACGGGAGGATCTTGTCAATGATCTCAAGGCAGCTGGGACCATAGTCACCAAGAAAACAATTGGTAACACACTACGCCATGAAAGACACAAATCCTGCAACGTCCCCCTGCTCAAGAAAGCACATATACAGGGCCGTCTGAAGTTTGCCAATTGTTACGGATACAGGTATCCTGTGTCTTTTTGTGTTTTTCCTCTCCTTCTGCCCTAATCACAGGTGTCCTGTATGTTCCTGATTGGTGGTTGTTGGGGTGTCTGCTGATTGCTAAGGTGGACCAATCAGTGAACATTCCTCTGCATTGCACCACCTGTTGCTGGTTTTTCAATCACACATCCCATTGTTTAAAAGCCGGTCAGTTGTGTTTGTTGTTAGAGACTATTTCCGTATGTGAGTATGGATACTGTGGTGTCCTGTGTTTTGTTTACTCACTCATTTGCTGGTTACTCTGTTTGGTAACTCTGTGTGTTTCTGGGAAAAGGAGAAAAAGGGGAGTTTAAGCAAGTTGCCCTTGGGCGTACATTACCCGTAGGAAGAAATCTGTCTAAAAACACTAGTTAGACCTGAGCGGACCACCCACTGTACTTTTGTATGATTAGCAGTAGCTTAGCGGTTCTTGAGGCAGGCAAGATCAGTTTAGTTTTTTTTTTACACTATTGTTTCATTTCTTGGGTCCTGCTCAGCCCTTTTTCCCAAACCTTTACCGTGTGTTCAGCAATAAACCTTTTATGTATGTAAACTTCCGACTTCAACTGTATATGCGAGAGAAAAAAACATATGGGGGATTGGAGGTGATGCAGACAATTACATTGATGGAAGTTACAATCTATCTGCAATATTAAAGCTGATCTACTCCCCCCCCCCCACCCCCCAAAAAAACAACGTATAATGACTGGTAGAGGCATATCAAATGATTGTGTAAAAAATCAATAGAATGTCTGATATTAAGCTATTGAGTAATAGCCATGGTGTAAAGGTACAGTTGCCATCAAGGAGTTTGAATAAAGAATATGTTCAACAGCTACTAGATAATTCTTGCTTTCTTGCTTATCCTCCCTTTCAGAGAGGGTTTCTGCGGTTACAGTCCAACCACTGCTACTCTCAGTCCCAGCAAATACAGGGGAACAACACTTATATTTATTGTTTATGAGCGACACGAAAGGATAACTATGAGGCCCTGCTATACATCTGTCTCGCTGATACCCCTCAATCTGACCTGGATGACATGCTTGTCCTATTAACATCCTCTGAGGTCTTAATACGTGTGACATTGGTGTCCTAGCCCTACATGACCTGCCCATGTTGTCGGCAGCCTGTAGATGAGGACATGGGCATGGCCATAAGCTTTCACCATTCAATTGACACAGGCCAAGAATGGGGCTTTTGACTGTTTCCTGTGTCTTACACTGTCTGTCTGTGGTTATTGTCTGTTGGATCGTTTGGATGTGATACATGGCACTCAAATAGAACAATTTTTATGTAGTATCTTTAAGAGCCCATTGTTTGGCTGTGAACCCTTAAGACCTTTGAACTCATCAGATCAGCTGTAAGACCTTCCCACTGAGTGTCCTCAGATCCTTTTAGCTGGTTAAATCAATGCAAATCTCTCAATGGTAGAAAGCCAGCGATTCCATCAACGCTTGGCAGAGGCCACTGCCCAGGCCCGAGCATAATGCTGCCATTTGTTTTTTGTCACAACAATGTCATGCTCTTTTGTTTCAACCCAAAAGCCAAAGAATACATTTGTGCTGCTGCTACAAGATGCTATGATAAAAACCAATGCAAATAGAAGACTAATAAACAAGTTCCTAAGCTCATCTCCGATTTGTGACATGAGATATCGTACTCATGATAACAGACAGATGACAGTTATACATGAGTATCTGTTATTAAGTTTATCATATGAAATCCCAGTTATCATTACAGACCTAATGGTCAGTCAAGACTTTGAATATCAAATGATACTGTTTCAATTTATGATCTTGGACAACTTAATCATTTCCAACAACCAACCTGTTACAATGGACGAGCCCCCAAATGTGTCAAGGTACCATTCACAGCCTTGCTGCTGGAAAAAAAAATCTGTATTTATACATTATGTTCAAGAACCAGTATAACTGCTGTTGGAATAAGGGGCCTACCAAACAACCTCCTGTACTGTCTTTCCCCAGCCACACGTGATGAAACAGAGGAGAGCTGTCTCCCTGGCTGTTGGGCTCCTAAGGCACAGTGGCAACACAATGCCTTGTTAAGTAGCAGATTCTCATCTGCTACCCTAGGTGGGTGTCTTGGTCTCTAGATCTACATTCTTTTCGTGGTTCAAGGATATCTCCCGTGTTTGTGTCCCACAGTTTTCCTCCATGGCCCGTATTGTTTTCACGGCGGTCTCTCTCGACCCTCAAACTGGAGGGACAAAGCTAAGAGTCTTCTAGAGACGAGGGCACATGCAGTACGGTCAACCCACTCTGTGCATTCCTGCTCTCTATCAGGCCTGTGGGCGCTGTTCAGAGACCCTCCCTGACAAAACAGATGGACTACTGTAGACATGACATAATGGACAAACATGTCTCCCTCGACGTGTCCTCCATTTATAGAGTGGCCAAAAGCCATTCAAACCGTGCTACTATTTAGACACCATCTAGTAAGTACTAAAGTAAGGAAGCACATGTGTAGTACACCAAGCAATGTCTACCCATGAACAGCATAACTCTATGGAATAGCATAACTCTATTAAAATCTCGAACTCTTCCTCACATTCCTTAATGGTTCTTACGCGGTTTGTTCCATGTCAGTGAGTCTGGTCCTTTATAGAATTAACTGTAACAGTTTGAACAAACTGTTGTGCAAGCCACAGTCTGATGTTCTCATGGAGTTTTGACTAATGACCAGCATACAGTGAACAATTAGCATTGTGCAGATTTAGTTTGACACACCTCCTACCTTCAGTTTATAGGCCTATGTGTCAGGCTAAAGGATAATAGCTTTTTTTTACATGGCATACAATGTGTAGTTCACATTTTCTGAAGAAACTATCTTTTCAGTTCCTTCTAACACTACCATTTTATTTTAGCTGTTCTTCAGATGTTTCACAGCACTCTAATCTGACTTCATCAAAGTTATTATCTGTACTCTCCTTGGGGTGCAGAGGTCTCTGAGATTATCGGAAAACAGAAACTTTAGAAATTTTCAATCACCGGAGTTAGTTTTGTGAAAGTAGTATTTGGAATGCCTTAGAGGCCATTGCAGGTTAATCCTACTTGGCCAATATTTTGCATTGTGAACTGTTTAGCTTTAAAATGGTATTAAATATTTGGAATTCACCCCAAACTATCACTGTAAAACTAGAGTTTTGAAGAGTTGGTTCTTTTGCTCTGAAAGTTACTTTCTTGACATAGCCTTCTTTGTAAAAAAGAATAATAATATATTTTTTTTAAAGACTAAAAAAAGAAAAAGGCATCTATTCTAAAATATGAATATGCTAATGTTAGGGTGTTTTCTAACACAACTCACCGTGTTACAGAACCCGCTTTGTTTCACAGCTGCTGCAGCTTCAATGGATTAAAACAACACAATCGAGTTTGACAAACATTCTTTGGTAAACTTAAATATTGCATTGGCAAAACAGCATGAGTAAATATCAGCTATAATAACTATTACTTATTAAATGCATTGAACATTCTTATGAATTATGAAATAATTAAGTAGGTATGGTTTTTATGTCTGTTCAGATTTAAGGGGGAGAATATCATATTTACAGTAATGGAGGTCAAAGCTCTTTCCATAGCTGACCATCACTTTTGTGTAGTTGTGATTAACAACCTATTGTATAGAGAAATAATTTCCATATGTTTCAACATTAGTTAGCATTTAGGTGTTTCCTTTTTTCTAGTCAACTGTATGGAAAACAGGGCTAATTTTAAATCTTATTTGAATATAATCAATCAAAAAGATATATGGGGTCCATTTCAACAATGGCCTCACAGTGCTGGAGACTGTTTTGCATCAGGCAGGGCCCTAGGTCAGGCTCCTAGATAACCCCTGTTGTTCCTCAGGCCGGGTGAGGCTGGGGGGGGGGGGGGGGGGGGCGAGAACAATGGCTGGCCCATGCAGAGAGCGGTAGTGACTGACTCCACAGGCACTGAGGGGCCAAAGAATGCCTGGAGTCAGGCCAGCACCATAGACGCCACTGTGGCCGCCTACCCCCACCTGACCCGCCTCATCTCCCATGATGCATTGGGGCACGGGGGCGATACCTTCAAAGACTGCCCATCCAACGTCAGACGGATAGAAAAGTATCCAAGGAGCAACAGCAAAGCGTTTACAGAGTTGGTTTGAGAGGTCTTAATCCCAGATACAGAGCGGTCGACCCCACCCAATTTAACAACTATCCAGCATGGCCACAGCGAGTACCTCAGGGCAAAGCTCATTCGGACTGAGCAGGAGGAAGAAGGCCCCTGGCCTGATGGATCAGATTAGCATGTTCTTTGGAGGCGACAAAAAGAAAAGGGGCAAGGTGAGCATCTGGGGTTACCAGCTGTCATGACCAATGGCTTCACCAAGACTATTCCAGTCTATAGAGTTCTAACATGACGATGGTAAGGATAGATCTGTCCAGTTTTTGTGTTGAAATCTGCAGTCGAGAGAGATTCTTTGAAAAAAGGTGATTTATTTATTGTGCAGCGCTAAAATACTTGTAGAGCTAGAATATCTGATGTAATAATCTCAGATAATTGGTCATTTAATTTTTATTCTAGATCTACCCAAAATATCAAATGGACTACTTGCTGTGCAGATTGTTTGGCATTGTTTCTCCATGTTGAGGATTTTTTTGGGGGGAAAGGAATAGCTATAGAACCACTAAAGATAACAGGGATTCTCGTTGATAAACAGGAATACACATTTAATTTATTTGCTGACAATCTCTTAAAGAGATTCTCTGGTACTTTTGTATACTTTTTGGCCAGTAGTTCCGAAAGTAGTGCTCATGAGCCAAAAGTGGTCCCCGAAAATGGCGTACTACGTCACATTTGTGCACCATGTCATTGCTCTCTCTCTTGCTCTGCTGTGTGTGCATCTTGCTAGCTATCACTCAAATGGCGACGGGCTAAAGCTCATTGGCTGGAACTCTAATTGCTAGGGGGGCTGGCCCACATGGGGGAAATTGGAGGGAAAATGGTGCCGCACACCTCCCAGTAAACAGTCGCTTTCAAACTAGGAATTTTGTGGCTAATTGAGGTAAGACCGTAATTCTGCTCATAGATTATGCATGTATGAACTACACATTGACACATTCAGCCCAAAGCGGGAGGTTTAAAAAATGATTTACTAGTTGTCAAAGTTCCGAGGCATGTCTTTAATGTTTTTCACCAACATTGAAAAATGTATACCTTACCTTATATTTGCATTTCGAGTTCCTCTAATTATTGCAATAGTCAGAAACAAATCGAGTACTTTCCAGGACATAGGCATGTCTTATATGGGCAGAAAGCTTAAGTTATTGTTAATCTAACTGCACTGTCTGATTTACATTAGCTATTACATTGAAAAAATACCATGCTATTGTTTGAGGAGAGTGCACAACAACAAAAAACGTATCACGGCAACTGGTTTGATACATTCACCTCTGAAGGTAAATAATGTACTTACATTCAGTAATCTTGCTCTGATGTGTCATCCTAAGGGTCCCAGAGATAAAATGTAGCATAGTTTTGTTTGATAAAATCCATTTTTATACTCAAATGTAGGAACTGGGTTCTACAGTTTGAACCACTGCTGTCTCTGGCTCTACACCCACCCTGCCCGGCCATCTAGATGTGTGAAAGTTAGTGTATAAGCTAATGATCCATCATGTATGACATTCCTGGTAGTGTGTAAACGTACATTTTGTATTACCATATCATTTTTGTATGTTCTTTATAGTTATGTACTTGAAAATATATAAATTGACCAATTCGGCACATTTAGACAGACTTGATACAAAATAGTCCAGTATTGCAATGCATCACTGGATCAATCTGAAACTTTGCACACACAGTGATGCCATCTAGTGGCCAAAATCTAAACTGCATCTAAACTGCAATATTATATTGTGGCCTTTCTCTTACATTTACATTTTAGTCATTTAGCAGACACTCTTATCCAGAGCGACTTACAGTTAGTGAGTGCATACATTATTATTATTTATTTTATATATATATATTTTATACTGGCATTTATACTGGGGCATTTCAAAGATGATGGAACCAAAAAACTAATAGAAAACGCATGTTTTTTTGTTTGTATTATCTTTTACCAGATCTAATGTGTTATATTCTCCTACATTAATTTCACATTTCCACAAACTTCAAAGTGTTTCCTTTCAAATGGTATCAAGAATATGCATATCCTTGCTTCAGGTCCTGAGCTACAGGCAGTTAGATTTGGGTATGTCATTTTAGGTGAACATTTAAAAAAAGGGTCAGATCCTTAAGAGGTTAATTTAATTTCTAATTCCCTTGAGCAAACCATGTAAAAAACATTAACTCTGTGAACTAGGATGCATAACATTACGAAGAAATACAGAGCATAGTATCTGTTCAGAAAGTCACCTCAAGTTGAAAATGAATTTAAAATACATAGAGTACATACTGTATAAAGACGTTTATGGATTAGGTTAACATGTACTCATAGCCATTTAATTGTGCCTGCTTGTCCAACGTTAGCAGTGAGACGTAGGTGTGTTTTTGACTATTGTTTATACCTTTAGGGGTCCTTCCGGGGTCAAGCCACCTCCCCCAAGCCAGCCCCTCGACGTCGGGCTAATGAGAATGCCGTAATGCATTTCTTCAGGAGCTTGAGCGTGAGTATCTTCGATTGACTACCTCAGTGCAATGTTATATATTATAACATGTATTGTATTAGTTTTAAATAAACTAATTGTAAAGTTGAAAAGGTTGTGAAATAAATATATTGAACTTATTCTTACACACTCTTACACAATATGTTTTGTTGTCAAAGAATTATAAACTAGTTTAATTCTCAATGGTATTTATCTTACCTGAAGCATTGTAGAGATCTTGGAGAAAATGTATTACCTGAAGTTACATCTGCTTTGGTCAATGGTGATTGTTTGATACAGGTAGGGCATGAACAAACTTGCCATACAGTTGGAACAATATTTACTTGTAGCTGTAAATAAGCGGTTATTTATTTTCTTTGAGTTTTGTAGTGCATACAGTATTCATCTTCACCCATTCATGTTCATATTTCTATTGATGAGAAAATATACTGCTCAGAGAATAATGTAGCTTTGAGCAGTATGTTCTCTCATCAATATAAATGTAAACTTGGACAAAGTTATTTTTCACCCATTGAAGATTTGGTTTAATTATTCATAATCTAGACAGACCAGATGTTTTGCCCAGCTCTGGTCCTCATTAGGAGACATATTCACAAGATATTGGGTAGAGTAGTTATCTAGTACAAGTCTGTGTCTCTAGGTCTACACCACTGCTTCAAACTTTCAATAGTACTGTTTTTTATTAAACTCTCTGGTGTTGCAAAGGGTTTTCCCCATTAGCCAATGTCCTTATGTTTCCATTTTTTAACTCATAGAATAGGACCTTATCATTTGTTGTGTTCTGTATCCTCAGCAGACATCCTCTCCCCGTCCCAAGTCCAGGGTGAGTTCCATTACTTCCTTTATTTTTATTTTTTATTTACTGTGGTAATTATCTTTAAAACGTTCCTTGCTTTTTACAGTGCATGACTTGCATCTCTTCATGGGCCTGTGCAAGTTGGGTAGCTAGTACAGTAGGCCTATGTTTTCAATTGTCATAGTAACAGGCGCTGCTCCAGTAGGCCTTCATGAATTTTCCTGATCCTCTCTTTTTCTTCCATGTCTAGTGGAGGGAGGTCTTGGGCTTGGTAGGTCATTCAAACTCAACCCTAAACTCAAACCTAGCCCTGTGTGTGATAATGACATCTCAATGTCTCCCTCTGTCTGAATACTTTCTCTAATGTCCTTCTGTGAGCGTTTTGATGTTGTTCTTCCCTCTTATTTAACTTTTACTCTCCCAACTTTGCATCTTCCTTCCCTTGTGTGATTCTCCAAGACAGTTAACATCCAAAAGAAAATATATATTTTTCTTAGATAGCCTAAGTACAAACGTTGTTTACCTTACTATTCTTACTCAGATGGAAAATGTCAAATGCGTGAATCAACGTCAAACACAGTTTTCCTCACAATGGAATTATTCATGGCAAAGTAGTTGCTGATGAAAAGCTCAAGTGCAGCTTAGACTGTGGTGCCATTACATCTCATGATTTCTGTTTTTCTGACATTTTAACTTAGAGTCACTGCTTCTGGATGACTTTGACACTGCTCAACTATTTCTGAACCGCAACCGGTAAAGACACTCTCTCAGGGACCCCTATATACAACAGTTCCCGCCTTCCTTTACACCTTTCCTTTCCATACCAGTCTGTGAGACTCTTTCATCTCTGCCTCATTCTCTGTTCATGGTGACTCACTAATCTTCCTGCATTAGTGTGTTTCTTCATTAAACTCCTCTGTGTCCACAGAGCTGTCCAGTGTGTAAGAATTGACATGTGCTCCTCACCAGTTCTCTGTGTTATGTGTGCTCTGAAGTAATGCATGCCTTTGTCTTCCATCTTTTTACCCCCTAAAGGTTGCTGTAATGCTGGTCATTCCTCATTTATCTCTCTTCCTGTTTCATTCATACCATTATTTTACAGTAACAGACCACTGAATGAAGTCAATTGATTTTGACAGCAACATGACATTTCTGGGTTTAATGCAATAGAGCATTGTAGTAATGTAACATTTATACCCATTGTATTTATCAAAATATATTCAAACTCAATATAACTACTAGTTCAACACCGCTCCCTACTTCATCCAATGAGAGCTGAGCACTGATTTATACCCAGGTCCAGCCATGTTCCATGTGTTTATAAAGCATCTTGTTCTAGGCCTCGCCACCGCATGCTGATGCCACAAAGTCATCTTACAGACGCCGCAGAGACCAAGGAACACTGTCCAAAATCTTCAACCTGGTGAGACGTCCTGATGTTTGTGTCCCAAGTTTATCTTGTCGCTACACAGTTACACTGTCTAAAGAGTGCACCTGATAAACATTGTTTCTTGTTTGTGTTTACCTCTCAAAACAACAGTGGTGATATTATCAAAGTGAGTAAATTAGCCAAATTAGTAACCTAGCCATATCCATCCTGAATCATCATTCATTTATACATAAAATCTCAAAAAACTGAACTAATATGCGCATTAATTAAATGGACAAAATTATATATTTTTAACTTGACTGGTTGGGCTCCACTTTATAATGTACAGTATGTTCCTATATATTTACATAGTTACAATGTAGGTACACATTGTTATAAACAGGTATAACAGTAAGCAAACAGGTAATTACACTGTACCTGGCTATGTAACTTTCATGTAAATGCATAGGTATTAGGGAAATTAATTGTAAAGTGGAGGGTGTCTTTTGTTATCAATGCTTTTTCAGTTTAATCTCTATTGCACAACTCATTTTTATTGATGGTATTATTTATTGATGTCTTTATACCTACCTCAACCCTCTTTCCTGAGAGTATGTACTAACTTTCAATCCCTGAAAATGTGACTTGACAATCATATAAATACAAATAACAATTTAAATCCCAATCTTCTCATAGAAAATCAAATTTCCATCGAATAGAGACACTTGTCCAACCATGACAAGCACTTTTAAAGCTCTGTATTTCCTTTTTTGTTTGTATAGAATTTAATAATTCAGATATCAATCTAATGTATTACTTCTGCTTCCCTCTGTTTACAGGAGACAAAGTCCCGCCTTCCCCCCAAACGCTGGAGCACCATCTTCTGAGCTCTCCTTAGATGAGAAAACCATGGAAAAGGATGAAGAGGAGAAAGATCTCCATTTGACAGACTCACAACAACCCTTGACAACGTTAACACACTAACACCAGTAAGTCTCCTTTGTTTGTAGATAGTGACACAATCTTGGCACCTAATATTTAGCCTGCTGGGATGAAAATGTGCAGTCATTGAGGGTGGGAGCTGTTGAGTGTGTCAATAGCCTTATAATCTGAGTTTTAAGGGAAAGTTCTCCTTTAGATTTTTGGAAATGCTACAAAATGATTCTACTCTAACATTTGGCTCAATGGGCTATTCGCCACACCCTAGCACCCTGTTCTGATGACGCTAGTGTATGCTATCAATGGATTGTTCATGTTGTGTTTTTCTATTTGTCTCTATTTGTCTGCATGTTGTACATGGATGATCTATTGTACACATAGAAAAATGCTTTATATTCCCCCTTGTTGTTTTTAGGAACTCAAACACACGACTGTTTCGTTTTTTGTATGTCGCCATTTATGTGAAATCTAGTCTAAGAAAGTGTTTGTGGGTCTTGTTATGCATGCAATAGTCAAAATTGTCTTGTGAAAAGTATGTCATGAATGCAGTGCTTGTGTATTTGAAAATGTAATGGGAAAACTACCTGTAAAAATGATAAACTAACATTATGTAATACTCTATTGTAGTATAACAATTCCATTTGATTTGTTTAGTCATATTACAAAAGTATTGTTTTATTTAGGCACTTAAATCATCAACGTATAGTGTTATGGTGTCCAAACCTATTAAAACAACAATAATTAAAACAAATGCCCTTACAAACTGCACTGTTAAACTTTGCGTATATATTTCAAAACTGTTTGAGAGGATTTAACATATTTTCTGACTAATCTTTAAATTTGTAGTTTCAATGCTTTTAATTTATTTCTGAAAGTGGTTAATTGGAAGTTAGCTTTTTGAGTAAAAGAGATGGTGAAATGGGAAGTTGTTAAGAGGTCTGATAAATCTGCAGAGTAAAAGAGCGGGTGAGAGCATTTAGTTTAGCAAATTCTCTCTCAAACAATTGTATTATGTGCTTGATTAATTTGTCACTTCCCTCGTGTGCGCATATCTGTCTGTTCACTGTATGAGTGTTAAATAAAAAATACGATTAAAACTTTATAAAATCATACATTTTTCTGAGGGTGCTCAATAACATACACTTGGTGCTAAAGGTGAAGAAACCGATTGAAAACCAGAGTAATGTGTTTCTTGTAAAATGTTCTTTGAAATAAAGATTTTTAAATGGCCAACAAGTTCTCAGAATCATACATTTAATTTAAGTACAGTCATTTTGTAATGTACACTGAACAAAAATACAAACGCAACATATAAAGTGTTGGTCCCATGTTTCATGAGCTGAAATAAAAGATCCCAGAAATACTCACAAAAAGCTTATTTCTCTAACGTTTTGTGGCCAAATTTGTTTGCATCCCTGTTAGTGAGCATTTCTCCTTTGAGAGTGGTCTTTTATTGTCCCCAGCACAAGGTGCACCTGTGTAATTATCATGCTGTTTAATCAGCTTCTTGGTATGCCACACCTGTCAGGTAGATGGATTTTCTTGGCAAAGGAGAAATGCTCACTAATAGGGATGTAAACAAATTTGTGGCCAAAATTTGAGAGAAATAAGCTTTTTGTGTGTATGGAAAATGTCTGGGATCTTTTATTTCAGCTCATGAAACATGGGACCAACACAGTACATGTTGCGTTTGTATTTTTGTTCAGTGTAGTTTAATATACACCATCCCAGCAGTGCAAAACTCGGGAAGGAAGTACATTTTCTTAGAAATATAACTTTGCCCTTTGCTTCTCCGAGCATGCTCTTTGTATAGCCTAGGCCTATAGTATAGGCTATGGATCATCTGATTAGGACCATACTAGGTATTGTGCGCTCAGCAGAGAATCAGGGATGAGGGGTATCATCGGGCACACATCGAGATATAATAAGCAACTAATTCTCAAACCCTGAGCAATATGACATTTAATCGATTACAAATTACATGACCTCCCCTGGACTAAATAAAAAAAATACTAAACCCTCCCCCTAACTGAAATTGAAAAAGCATGACCCTCCCCCATTTTGTTCGTTCGACATGGTGGGATCTTTTTGTGTCTGTAAAATGCATTATGCGAGAAATGGCAGTGGAAATGCCTTTATGCGCAAATATTGATATAATAACCATCATATCGAAGTAATGGAGTCACGCAATTTTATGATACGTTGTACTACTACTACGACATGGGAAAGCACCCTTACAAAAAAAGATTGCAGTTTTGAAACTGCAGTAAAAGTGCAGTAACTGCAGTTAACTGTGGTATTTTGGATGCAGTAATTGCAGAATAACTGCAGTTGAACTGCAGTTATACTGCACTCAAACTGCAGTTATACTGCAGTGTACTGCAGTTATACTGCACTCTGACAGCATTTATAGGCAGATGAAATACGTTATGATGAACTTCATGGTGGTTAAGTGATGGATGGTGGTGAGCTTAATACACATTTTCAATAAATATTGAGGGTATTATTTGAATGTTGGTGACATCCATAAAAATGACATTGCACTTATCCATACCTCATCATATAAGCCAAGGTTTCCCAAACTCGGTCCTGGGTTCAATTACTTGAATTCTATTTTATATATTTTTTTGTGAGCCAAACGTGCCTTTTCTCAAGAGAGAAATCAAATAATTAATGAGAGAAATAAAGTCAGGAACTACAATTTGTGGGACGCTTGGCTGAAGGGAGTTGTAGTTTTCACTAAGCAAATATTCAACCTAGTTCAGAGCAGAAACGTGGTAATTAACTACAATGACCATAATCCATTGCGCCTGTTTTTTCCGGCTCAGACAGTTATAGATCTCTGGATGGACACTTTTACGCCTGCTATGTTAGTTAGGTTAGATACACACAGACCGCATAAACCGCATGAGAGAGTTATGTAGGCTACACAACACAATGACGAGAGGGACAGAGACAGTTCGTGTAAGTATGCCTTATCTACTTTGAAGAACTAGTAAAATGATTTTGTCAGACAGCTCTGCAGCCGGCTAGCTAAATAGGATGACTAAAGACAGTACAGCATGGAGAGTAGATAACGTTAGATGGTCTGGCTGGCTGAATGAAAAAATAATAAAACAATCAAATAGAAACTAAGTAATACACACAACTGAAATATTGTATTATTTCATAGTGATTTCCAATTATTCTATTGATGTCTACCCAATGTGGGCCTGGCAGAGACAATGGAATATTTTTTTATGTTTTGGCAAGTGAATGTTCACTATTTTTGGCTTTGGAATTTCCATTAAAAAGCTCTAAAATCATTGTAATGTCATTCTTTCATAATCCATTTAATGTTTATTTTATTTTATCGAAACCGAATTCGAAATCGAATCAACCTCAAAAAGCACTAACAGGAGGAGAAGAAGCCACATGTGCGCATGGATAATACAGTAGGCTAAACCTCAAAAAGAAAATCCCTGAAATGGATGAGACTTCCTGTAAGAAATGACAATAGTGAAAATATAAAGGCTCTTTTTCTCTGAAATGTGGTGACCTTAAAAGCTTTCCCCCCCCTAAGAAACATCATGCCTGAGGCCTTGCATAAATAAAAAAGGTATCACCGTATTTTCCTTACATGAGTACATAGCTACCATTGGCCATACAGACCTTCCTCAATCTCAAACAGAACACTACAATAATATACAATAACTTCATTCACTACTTTTATTCAGCAGCCAGACCCCTATTTACAGTACCTTCACAAAGTATTCATACCCCTTGACTTATTCCACATTTTGTTGTTACTGCTTGAATTCAAAATTGATTAAATATATTTTTTTCCCACCAATCTACACACAATGCCCCATAATAACAAAGTGAAAACATGTTTGTAGACATTTTTGCTAATTTATTGAAAATAAAATACAAATACAGTACATAAGTATTCACACCCCTGAGTCAATACATGTTAGAATCACCTTTGGCAGCGATTACAGCTGTGAGACTTTCTGGGTAAGTCTCTAAGAGCTTTGCACACCTGGAGTGTACAATATTTGCACATTATTCTTAAAAAAATTATTCAAATTCTGTCAAGTTGGTTGTTGACCATTGCTAGACAGCTGTCTTGGAATAGATTTTCAAGCCGATTTTTGCATTTACATCATTTAGCAGACGCTCTTATCCAGAGAGACTTACAAATTGGTGCATTCTTATGATAGCAAGTGGGACAACCAGTTTTGTTCTTCTTTTTTTATGGGGGGGTGGGGCAGGGGGGGGTAGAAGGATTGCTTTGTACTATTCCAGGTATTCCTTAAAAAGGTAGGGTTTCAAGTGTCTCCGGAAGGTGGTCAGTGACTCCGCTGTCCTGGCGTCATGGGGGAGCTTGTTCCACCATTGGGGTGCCAGAGCAGCAAATAGCTTTGACTTGGCTGAGCGGGAACTGTGCTTCTGTAGAGGTAGGGGAGCTAGCAGGCCAGAGGTGGATGAACGTAGTGCCCTCATTTGGGTGTAGGGTCTGATCAGAGCCTGAAGGTAAGGAGGTGCCATTCCCCTCACAGCTCCGTAGGCAAGCACCATGGTCTTGTAGTAGATGCAAGCCTCAACTGGAAGCCAGTGGAGTGTGCGGAGGAGCGGGGTGACATGAGAGAACTTGGGAAGGTCGAACACCAGACGGGCTGCGGCATTCTAGATAAGTTGTAGGGGTTTAATGGCACAGGCAGGGAGCCCAGCCAACAGCAAGTTGCAGTAATCCAGACAGGAGAAACTGTAACTAGGCCACTTAAGGAACATTCAATGTCATCTTGGTAAGCAACTCCAGTGTAGATTTGGCCTTGTGTTTTAGGTTATTGTCCTGCTGAAAGATACATTTGTCTCGTAGTGTCTGTTGGAAAGCAGACTGAACCAGGTTTTCCTCTAGGAATTTGCCTGTGATTAGCTCTAATTTCTTTATATATATATTTTTTAACTCCCTTAACATGATGCAGCCACCACCATGCTTGAAAATATGAAGTGGTACTTTGTGATGTGTTGTGCTGGATTTGCCCCAAACATAACGCTTTGTATTCTGGACATAAAGTTCATTTCTTTGACACATTTTTTGCAGTTTTACTTTAATGCCTTATTGCAAACAGAATCCATGTTTTGGAATATTTTTATTCTGTACAGGCTTCCTTCTTTTTACTCTGTCATTTAGGTTAGTAGTGTAGAGTAAATATTTTTCTCCTATCACAGCCACTAAACTCTGTAACTGTTTTAAAGTGATCATTGGCCTATGGTGAAATCCCTTGGCAACTGAGTTAGAGAGGACGCCTGTATCTTTGTAGTGACTGGGTGTATTGATACACCATCCAAAGTGTAACTATATAATAACTTCACCACGCTCAAAGGGATATTCAATGTTGGCTTATTTTTTTACCCATCTACCAATAGGTGCCCTTCTTTGAAAGGCATTGGAAAACCTTACTCGTCTTTCTGGTTGAATCTGTGTTTGAAATTCATTGCTCGACTGAGGAACCTTACAGATAATTTTTTAACAAAAATAATGTTAAACATTATTATACAGTGCATTCGGAAAGTATTCAGACATCTTGACTTTTTCAAAAAAATTGTACATTACAGCCTTATTCTAAAATGGATTTGTAAAAAAGTAATCCTCATCAATCTACACACGATACCCCATAATGACAAAGCAAAAACAGGTTTTAATGAAAATAATGTTTTTGTTTTTTTTTGTTTTCAGAAATATCACATTTACGTAAGTATTCAGACCCTTTACTCAGTACTTTGTTGAAGCACCTTTGGCAGCGATTACAGCCTCGATTCTTCTTGGGTATAACGCTACAAGCTTGGCACACCTGTATTTGGGGAGTTTCTCCCATTCTTCTCTGCAGATCCTCTCAAGCTCTGTCAGGATGGATGGGGAGCGTTGCTGCACAGCTATTTTCAGGTCTCTCCAGAGATGTTTCGATCGGGTTCAAGTCGGGGCTCTGGCTGGGCCACTCAAGGACATTCAGATCTTGTCCCGAAGCCACTCCTGCGTTGTCTTAGCTGTGTGCTTAGGGTCATTCTCCTGTTGGAAGGTGAACCTTCGCCCCAGTCTGAGGTCCTGAGCGCTCTGGAGCAGGTTTTCATCAAGGATCTCTCTGTACTTTGCTCTGTTAATCTTTTCCTCGATCCTGACTAGTCTCCAAGTCCCTGCCGCTGAAAAACATCCCCACAGCATGATGCTGCCACCACAATGCTTCACCGTAGGGATGGTGCCAGGTTTCC